CTTGTGAGAGAACGTCCCTATCAGAAGATAGTAGTAGAAATACCAGGTTCTTACATTTTGTTTAGTGTACCTTACTTCAGTCAAGGTATCCAGAATCGACTATTTTATAGGCAAAGCAATCCCCTCCATCACCCTATATACGATGTGTTCTTATAACAAACAGTCTGCCTATGGATTGTACTGGAAGTGCTTTGCCATTTGTACCTGTGCTAACAGTTCTGGAAATGGAGTCATGCCTATTTTATTGGTAAGGCCTAGTCTAAACAACTTTGTGGTTGGGAGTTATTCAACACACAGGTGGTTTTCTGTTAAGTTCTACTGGCATGGTTGTAGCTGGCCAACTAGTGATGTGGTTATAGCTGTGATGGTACTTGGACACAGGCAAGGAAAAGAATGTAGATTGAGATAGTATCTCTTACAAGGCTTTTCAGTCACTCAAGCCCTTCATTAAATCTGAATGAATGTTTTGAGAAGTGGTGTAGCCTGAAATTTTCATTATGACCTTTTTTCATTATGACTTCTTTTGTTATCTAACCTCTGTTAGGGGAATGAGCTAATTTAATAAAGTTTTGTCATGCCATGGCCATGAACAGGAAAGTTTCTGTCAGAAAGGCTGTTGATCAATGGAAGCTGAATGGAGAGGGATGCTATTTTCATTTTTCTTTGAAATAGCAGCTTCGGACAGAATGAAATAGCTTTGAAGGGATCAGTCTTGTGCTGCTTACAGGAGGAACATACTGGGAAGAGCTGGATGCTGGAGAGGTTACTTTGTTTAGGAATAGTGGGTGGCAATCTGACCATCCCGGACTGTTTTATATTCAAAAGAGAGTTACAGATCTCTCAAATTTAGTTAGAAACAGTACCCCCTTAGTGTGCTCTCTTTGCTTTGCTACCATGTGTGGTGTTACTTAGCTTGGGTAGAAAACCTGTCCTTATGCTAGGTGAGTTCTGGGAGGTTAGAAGAGCTGTATCACTTATTCTGGGGAATATCCAGGAAGATCTTATGAAAAATAGTAAGTAGCATTATCCTGTGATGCTTAAGATTGTATAAATACTCTTTCCTTTTCATCTTGAGGAGTGATAACCGTGTCCTAAATGTGCTCTGTAATTTTGGACGTTGACTCTTCTGATATTGCACAATTGCAGTGAACTGCTCAAATAGTTCCAAGTCTGTTTTCAGGAAGTTGATGAGTATATGTCTACGTGTAGCCTGAAAATGACACTGACTCCTCACTGTGGCGTTGACAACTTCTGAGCTGGAGTGGGGTGGGCAGCTGGGAGTGATGACCACTTAGGCTATTGTAGGTTGAGTAGTGGCAGCAGTGTATTAGCCTAGTGATGCAGTCCTATTTTGTGTTTATAAGCTGTGTTTACAATGATAGTATTAAACTGGTAAGTCCTTTCTAAAAGTTGATTTAGCCTTTAGAAATTTTCTATATTAAAAAAACTGAAATAAAAACCCAACAAACCAAACTC